TCCAAGGAAATTCGAAATATTCCCGTTGCTCTGGGTATCGCGCCAGGACGGGGGAATTAAAAAGGTTGGTTTCGACCCGCGATTCGCGGGATGATTAAGTGAATTCTCGACTTTCATAGAAGAACGAAAGTTCATCGTTCATGGGGGGCGGAGTTTCTTTCAAAGTTTTGAGGAAGGGCGATTGCGAGGCGTGCTTCAAAAGCCTGACGCAGTGGCTCCTAACTTTCTTTATATTAAGACACGATCAGGAAAGACTAACGTTGAGTTAACATTGTGAAGGAACGTTAGAAGTGATTTGTATTATATTGAAATTATTAGACGCAGAAATTGATTTTTGTGCCTTGATTAAGTGCAGAACTTGATTTCTGTGTCTTGAATTGACTCGCCATTACTCGGCATTTTATTATGTTAAATTATTCATCGACCTTCTAACCATAATTTTTATTCTTCATATTATTTAAACGTCTGTTCATATTCAGGAAACTGTGCAATACATCATTTTACATGTGTAAATGTGTAATAAATTGATTTTCCAAATAAAATCTTCTCGTTAACTTACTTTTTCAACAATTTTGTTTCACGACACGCTGGCAGTGCGTTACTGCACACCTGTTTGAAAGGACTGGTCCAGCGAACGAACGAATTTCACAGGACGAAAGTCCGCGTAAATAAACTGCAGCCTGCAGCCAAGCTTTTTCCGCGAATCCCTTCGGACTACCGACAGCTCGTGGCTTTTAGGGAAAATTCCCAGGCACCAGAAAGTTATTGACAGCTCGTGACACCGGCGAAGTTCTCGAGGAAAGATATTTCTCCTGCTGTCATCCGGGCTGGTGACAGAGGACTGTGCACACAGGGTGTCTCAACAATCGCGGGCAGCCAGGAATGAACTGATTTTCCATATAAAATAAGCTTAGAAATATATAAAATAAAAGTTTATTGTGTCTTCGGGACGAAAATTCTTCTTTTCGGGAGGACACTTTCAAAATATTTAGATGATATGTGAATTAACTGTATTTTATTAGGGTGGTTTGTATTATAAATGAGGATAAGACGATTACAATAACAAAATTATTTTTTTAAAAGGATAGTATAGTATATATAGGATATATTGAACTATCCATAGCACTGTCTAACCTAAAACAATTATGTAAACATATTTACAAATAACGTTCTGAATGAATTTTTCTTTTGAGGAATCAATCTTTCTCCAGAAAGATGGCAAAAGGTAGCAGAAAGCGAGGTAAAATATTTAAATTGAATGTAATGTACAGATCCAGCACAAAAAATACTTATGGATACCCGTAATTTATTTTAGATTCGTTTATGGATGATGAATCTTCTCTTTCTGATTAATCTACGATCGCTGGGACACTTTGTATTAACGCGTTTCCCAAGGAGACATCATAGCCCTTAATAGAATCACGCGCGTCAGACCTTGACCGCTTCGAGATTGAAATTCAAAGTTGGATTTTCGGGAACTGGCATCAGATCGACGTCGTGGAGCTTTTAGACTTAGACGAATGTATAATTTAAACGGCGACCTCCAGAGTGGACCTGGATGCTATTCGACGCTAACCGATGAAAAAGTGATTCTTTACGTGCCAGGGTCACGTACTGTTCCAGAAAGTATGAAACACTTGCCCTGCGACAAGTTCTATGGTATAATTTATAAAAGAACGCCGTAGACTTTCGTAACAGATAGTAATTACACGAGTGAAAAAAAAGTCTCTAACTAACGAAGATCCACCCTTTAATTTTGTCTGAGTGGAAAAGGATTCTCTGTTCAGGTAACATAAGAAGAGACTTTGTTTGTAGTGCTTTCATTTTGTAGTTCCAGTCACGCTGAAAATTATATGTACTTTGAAATAGTGACAGTAACGTGTTCTTTTTATTTTTACTCAATGTTATTCCATCGTTCTCATCAATCCATTTGGAATTACTCGTGGCAACATTTTAAATAATTTATACTATGGAAGGAGATTCGGATATCGCTCGTTTTCTTCAATTCGCCTGTAAATGTACATGATACTATTACTAAATCGGATAGCTAAAATACGTTTCACAAAAGAAAAATAATTTTTATACGAAACTGAGAGAAACAAATATGTTGAAACACATCCAGAAACCAGTAGTAAGCAAAAATTCTATCTCTACTTATAATCAACTTTTACCAGAGCCCCGTACAATCAACTTTCTAAACTACTTTAATCACCTATAATTACCAGAATATTTTCCAAATACACATGGCTAAAATAGTTGAAAAAATCCTGATACTCCGCGAAGAGAAACATTCTCCATTCTCCACGTTACCAATCGGCGTCCTAATCGCGCAATTATCGCATTTTCTCTACATAAATGATGGGCAGATCTGCATTACAGCGATCCGAAGACGAAACATACGTGTCGTACTCGTGCGAGCTCTTCGTTCGAGTAAAATGTCAGCAAACTCTTTGCAAATAGAGAGGTAGAGGCGAGGGGGGGATTTGGAACGAGGCTGGATTCACAATGTGGATGTAAGAAACCAGTTCTCGATCCGATATTTCCTACCAGACAATGGGGCCGGGGAAAGAAAACTCAATCGAAAGAGAAATCGGTGGCCAGCGCTATAGATTTATACCGCGGCGTACCGCCAATAGCATTGTACGTATCGCAGGCCCAATTGCGAACGTTGCGAAACGCTCGACGACCTTTTCCAATTCGTATCGCAACCTTTAGGAAGAGGCTCGACGATGCGATGGTAACGGATAAACACGCTGCGAATTGGAATTGCAAAACCGGGAAACGATATCATTAGAACAACTGAAAAGTTTCAGCGCTGGCGGAACTTTCGCGAGCCGCTGAAATATGACCGAAGAACCGTGCTTAGGAACTTAAGAAGAGCTTTTAGACCAACTTCCAGCGATGTATCCAAAATGGTTATGCATTATACCCTTTCCTCGCTGAATTGAAAGTTCAACTCGCGAGGAGACCGCGTGCAACACTGATTTTAACGAGACTTTGCAGATGCACGGAGGATTGAGGAACGTTTCGGTAATTCCTAATTTTCTGGCTAGATTAATAGCAGCACATAACCACGCTTCTGTACATTAACACGTTCGCGATGTTTGCGACGTGTATTATGTTAAAATTTTCTCTACAGCAGATAAGGTGAGTTATGCAATGGTGTTGAATGCATTTTTCGTGGTTGGAGTCACCGGTGACCACCACGGCGCTGTAGCCAAATCGAGTGCCGGTCACCAGTGACCCCCATAGCAGTCAACGTGTTAATTTATTATAATAATTCTTCGAGATATAGTGGGTATATAATGTAAGAAGTTATGGGTTCGTGTGAAACAATGTAAATGTGATATGGAAAAAAACATGTATGTGCAAGACTGGACCGACAGCTACAACAATCTCAAATTATAAAACTTTGTGACCAATGAACTACATATCAAACCTGAATATTATTATAATTATTTGAGGGATATTGACACATATGTGTACGTTTGATTTTATATCAAAATGACCATTGCTTCCAATTACAATACTTTTAAGTAGTAAAAAATAAATATTTCCGTTAAAAAAACACTCTCAACAATACAAACCCTCCTGAACACATACGAAGTGAGATATCCTACAATTACTATTACCCAACTAAATGTCTCAGAAACTATTAAACTTGTGATAGATATCTCATCTAAAAGTATTTTATCTACATCTTCATACTTCCATATTCAAAATGTATTACTCCATGAAAAGCTAGCGTAACAAATATGTAATTTGTCGAAAACAACGAATTCACGAAAAATGTACATGCCATCAGTTCGTAGATTCTATCGAACCAATACACTCTCAAAAAATAATCTCAATTGGCCCAGTAGCACCGGAAACAATTAAGCTAATCGAGTTATTACATTGTTCAGCCTGTATGGCACAGATTGTTCTTTCGACACCCACGAATCCAGCAATATCTAAACCCGTTTCCAACAATAACACGCAGTGGTCGAGTTTTTTGTGTTCGTAATGGACAAGCATAAAATTGAATGAATCAATTACACCATTCCGTAAGGAAATCCTGAGCACGCGCAGCTTTTTGCCCCGTTCACTTTCATAACGCCCGTCCACACGGTAAATCGAGCATGTTACCAAACCGCGCGAGACGTAACAATGACGCGGAAACGTTGCGACATTCCGCGACAATATTTCTCGCGTAGACACAAGAAACGGTTGTTATAGTAAAATCAAATGTAACAGAAACGAGAACGATAAAAGGAAAATCAGAAAGTGTAGTGCGGTGACTCACAGTCGAAATCGACGCGCAGAGTATCCTAACGTGGGGTAACACGAAAGCAATTAAAAGTTTATTTAGATATTTCATTTGATACTCAATTGCAGAAAAGTAGACTGCGTGGCTTGAAATAGGTCGACAAGGTGCTATCTTCCCCGTAACGAAACAAAAAGAAAACAAATATAGTCAGAAAAACTTTGTCGAAATTAAATGATAGGTTCGATATTTTTAAATAAATGCTTCATTATACCTCATATATAAATACGCTTTGCACGTTTATACTCGTGAAAATTTCTATAGAATTAAAATGTTGTCTCGAGGCTATTGAGGATTAAATAATTCAACGCTTGTCCTAGTATTTAATTTTTGTAACGCCTAATTCACGAATCTTATACAGATTTTATTTTCATTACTGCCTCAGCGTCGAAATTAATTTTTTCAGTGGTATTTTCTTCAGACATGATTTTTTGTTGTTATTATCAAATTCGTATTGGCAGTAATTATAATAATCAAAAACTAAACGTCCACATATGACAATGAACAGTCCTGTCACCCATTTCTGAATGACGTGACTGTACATGTGTTCACCAAAAACAACTGCTTTACAATTCAACTCTAAGGGTTGTAGCGAAAACTTAGAAAAGAATAAGATACAATTTGGACTATGAGTCACCGTGAATGAGTCGACGATAGTCGCGGAAAAGCGAAAGCAAAACAAAATGAAACAAACCTTGCTTAATGACGATACCAGAGGGCACTTGGACTATCGGTAAGGCGGCGTTGGAGGGGTTAACGTTGACGCTGCCAGGTGTTCCTGGGGGCGGCGATGCGCTGGCGCTACCCACCGAACCGGGATCGCTGAAGCCTTGGGTGCTGTTCTCCTCTGGTCCGTCGAAGAAGCTCAGATTGAACTCACTACCTGCGTCGAAGGACACTTCTGGCGTAAGGGTGTCTGGCGCTGGGGCGCTACCCAGACCCGCGCTCAGGGACTGGTCGATTTTGAAAACGTCCATTGTACGAAGAGAAGATGATGTCGGCGATGGTGCACCACGATAACAACGGTCACCATTCGCGAACACGCCGCACTACTGGGATCGATTCACTTCTCGACTTTCGTTCGACCAGCTTCTCATAACCACTGATACCTATACCTAACTCTTCGCGTTAGCGGATCCCTGATCCTTCTAAGAATCTCGATACACACCGTTCCAAGTAGCAAAGATTCTCCCTGTAGGGCGAAATGTTACGTTGACTCACGAGTCCTCCATTAATCCTGGAAAAACCCGAACGTTTCGTCGCACTACCGATGGTCAACGTCTCATAACTCCCGATATCGAGGAAATCGTCAGCTCCTCGCTCGATCCCTCTGACGAGGAACAATTCGGTGCGCACTGCTTATCCCGAACGTTCCTCTACGCACGAGTACTCCGATAATATTACGACAAAGAGTACTTTCGAAGATTCGTCGCACTACTACGTCGCACACTTCCAGTCCTCTTACAGAGACTTCTGATACGGAAACAGAAATCTCCTTCGTACGTTCCCCGACGATTCCGGAATCCCTCTAATGTAGAAGAATTCGTCACACATACTGTCACGAACCGTCGACCCTGTTCCAACGGGAAACGATGCGTAGATTCACGAGCTCTCCATTAATCCCGCGACAGCAGGAGCTCGAGGATCGTCGCGCAACGGGGAAGCGATCGAGACCATAGATCCGCGCGAGCGGCGTGGCGACAGAGTCCGCGGGGGCGTTTCTTCATGAGGAAACGATCCACGAATCGCGTGTCACCTTGGTATTCACCTGGTTACTCGCTTATTTACAGTGGCACATGCAGTCCACGGAAACGATGCACGTCCACGTTCCTATTTGTTACCTTTTACCACGCTCGTGCCAAAGCGTAACACGGTAACAGAGTAGCTACAGGACACTGTCGACGCTTTTCCTAGGATCTCGAAATTGAACCAAAGGCGGACTCGATTAGCTCTTCAGGTTGGTTGCTCGCGATATAACGTTATCAGGAGAGTAACAAAGCAACTACACTGTCGACGCTTTTCCTAGGTTCTCGAAATTGAACAAAAGGCGGACTCGATTTTCTCTTCAAGTTGTTTGCTCGCGATGTAAGTCCTCAAGACAGTCACAGAATACTGTCGGCACTTTTCCTAGGTTCTCCAAACCGAACCGAAACCCAGACTCGATTTCCAAGTTAGTTGTTTGCGATCTGACGTCTCCAGGAGAGTTTCGGCGTCGTCCTAACCGATTCATTAGCCGAACGACGATTTTCGTAGATCCCAGGGCCCCGCGGTGCCACGGTTTCGAGAAGGCATGCCTTTCGAACGGCGCGAGTTTAACCGAGGTCACTGGCCGTTTACTCGTCGAGATTCTCAATGAAACTGTCCGCGGGCAACCGAGAAACGATTTTGGCACGTCTCGCCGGGGCCAGCGCCGTTCTATCTGCGAATCTCTCAACCTTCCGGAGCCTTCGAACCCGTCGCGTTGGCTCGTTGCTCCCGTTGATGCGATTCTCGTTATTCCCAGACACGAGACACCGGAGGCAACGGTTTTCGGCGGCCTTGGGGCGGCGTGTTATTCAATCTGATACGATTACGGTCGCTTTATTACGGCTGGGCGGCGAGACTTCTATCTGGGCTTCTATCACCCTCGATTCCTATCGCGGCAGGAATTAATTTTCGAACGAAGAAGCGTCTCGTCGGAGACTTTCGACACCGTGGAACATCCACCGAACGATATCGCCGTGTTCGCGAGGCGTTCTTCTCTGCAATCGCCGGTACACGATAGGCTATCTCTGCGGGGTTGTACGGTCGATGATCGCGATTGTCCGAACCGAAGGGGAACGAGAAACAGAAAGTAAACGTATGGAGGATAAACGGACCTGTCGCACGACACCGAATTGTCGTCCGCGTGTGTATCGGCTACGTAAGTACGTACGTTTGTTGAATGGAATTAGACGTATCGTTAATGCGTCGCGTCTCTGTCCGAGGTACTACCTCCGACCGATGCACGTCGGTCCTCTTCGGTCGAGTTGGGTAACAGTCGATATCTTCCGTGTTGGAAAAACCGTGGAACAACTTTTAGCACGCGTTGCGCTCACGAACGAGAAAAAATGTTACACTTCACTGGTCACCACGTCACTACTTCGTGCGAAACGAGACCCTCCTCGTTAGCTCTCTATCTTGCGGCTGCGAAAATCCGTGGGATCGCGACAGGTCTCCGAAAGGGTTCGGCATTGTTCGAGAAGACGCTCGCGATATCGTCTTCGTGCACGGGCATGTTCTCGTCGGTGTCTCGTTATCTTCCCTTCCGTGTTTTCCTTGGGTTCGCCGGCTCGGGGGGTTTCAGCTTGGAAAATAGAAAACCACGCGAAGGGATTCAACCCATTATATTTTTCATTCGTGATCGCGATCAGTCGTCGTCTCTCTCTCTCTCTTCTTCGGTTTTCTTTTTCCTCGCTTTCTTTCTCTCTCTCTCTCTCTCCTTCTGAGCTCGCGTTACGTATGGATTTGTCTGTTGTCCGCGGATCGAGGCTCTACGGGGTGAGCTTTTTTCGTGTAACGCAAGCGCGGTCTTTTCCGCCGATTTTCAGTGGATCCGAGGTCCCATGGCTTTTCACGTGATCCATCGCTGAAAGAGAAATCAAAACGAAAGGAAAATCAGAAACAAAAGAGGCAAACGCGCGGATTCGGAAGAGAGAGAAAAAAAAGGAAAACTCGAGCATGCGTGGAGGGTACGCCGATCGTTCTATTGGATTTGATCGTTGATTGGTATTTTTTGGGAACGAATGGCGCGAATAACGCCAAGTTCGATCGATCAGAGACAAATTCCGGGTGTTAGTATTGTTATTCAATGGATAGATCGCGGATGGTTCGCTATTTATATTAATAACGCACCGTTGGAACCTATTTTTTACTTCTTGTTCACAGGAAAATTATACAGTCCATGTTTTTTAATTGAAAAACGCAGATAGTACGCGAATTATTATTTATGATTAAATTGGTAATCTAGTACATCGTGTAAAAATAGAGTGGAAATTATACAATATAGTTGAACTTACATATACAGTCAGTCCTGTAAGTATTCGTACTCTCTATGTCTATCGAAGAAATTTGTCTAATTTAAAAGACAGGCTGCATATTTTCAAATCTAATTTTCCATTCAAATAAACATCACACACAAACATATATATATATATATATTTACAGTTACAAATTTATTTGGAAACATGGAACATTCATTTTAATTAAACAAATTCCTTCAATAAATATAGGAGGTACGAATACGTATGGGACTGACTCGTGTAGAAATCAATTCAGATTACCGATATAACAATTGAATTTCGCGGATTAAATATTAAAATAATTTTTGGTGGTCGTGATGGTCCAGTTTGGTGGTCCAGCTTCAATAAGCTCCATAAAAATGAATTCGATAAAATGAAGTCAGTTTACTTTAGAAAGACACAGAATTAATTCGTTATTCGAAGTAGCTATTATTCCAAATAAATTGGTATTATTTGAATATTCAAATAACTTTATCGGAAATAACGAACCCAAATAAACGAATTCAACTGGTTACTTTCTACTTTCATTTCAATTAAAATTTTCCCAGGTCTGCATCATGTAAAACGAGCACTGACCGATATAAAAGTTTGCCAGGAATCAGATTGACAAGGCAGGAACGAGTTATCCGTCAACTATTCGACGACCGATCGCCGAATATCAACAGGTTTTGTTTCTACCGCGTTTTTCCACGTAGCGAGTGAAACGGGAACGACATGGCCGAACGGCGAACTCGAAAAGAGAGGAAAAGATCGCCGAAGGAAAAAGACACGGCGAGCCTTCGAGAGGAACACGAGGAGGAGAGTGAGAAAAAGCGAATGTCATTGCCGTAATCTTCGGACGTTGACTTCCTCCTGGCTCGTCCCTCCTTCCTCTTGGTCGCAAGCACCCCCCTCCGACAACACATACCCGCTCCCCGACCGCCCCCTCTCTCGCGAGTCGTTCACTTTGTCCTCTCCTTCTTACCTGTGCGTTATCCCTCGCGATTCTCTACCTGCGTCTCACTTCCACGTTTCCTCTCTTCGCCTGTTCTACCCCTTGCCACCACTGTCTCTCTTTGCAATGGCTCGTTACATGGAGACGTAAGTCTCCGAGACCGACAAAATTGTTGTCTAAATATCAATCTTGAACAAACAGTGGCGAGATAGACAAATTTCGATACCATATTTGCTAAAGTACAATCTGAATTATAAAATGCAATCATGGAGATAAATACGGAGAGTTGGTAATTACTGACGGGCGTTCCTTTGAGAAGGGTTTGTAGAGAAATGGAGTGACACGGGGGACACCCTGTATATTACGAAATAGTATAATGCATTGCGTCTGACCGAGGAACCTGACACAATCGTCGCGGAAGTACGCTATGAATTCGAAATGAGCATCCACCGTCTTCCTCGGCTATAGAACTCATTAAAAATTGGAGGACAGGTGGTTAAGAATTATCTTCAAGGTCTGCAATAAAACTAGCCATGTTTTGGAAACTATTCGCACCATTGACGAATAAAGCACTCGATGTCACGATAAAACGTCTAAGTATACCACTTTCGTACCGGACGTCTCGTATTTTAGTCCCTTTCTTCGACAACTATAGTTCACTTTCTTAAGACGCGGTGAAATTGACCCGTGCCACTGTCGTTTTCAGGTGGTCAATAGAACAGCTCGAAGAAGACCGTTTGCAGCAGACGTGTAGTGTAAGAGCTCCTGAGGCTCCATAATACCTACACCCTCCTAAGTCCCGGGACCGCTGAACGAATCATCTACCTACCATTGAAAGCCAGGAGACTAGGAGAACTAGCCTTTATTGTCCGATTCATCGAGATCGTATACTTGTGATCCTATTCAACTTCAGCTTTAACCGTTGATAAAAACGTTCTCTCTTGGGCTTTTCGTACTAATGAAGTTTGAAACAATAACAACAACGTATTTAATCCGTTCTGTTCTGCTACATGCACTAACAAGATGGAGCAGCTATCGTGTTACAGACTGATTATGCTCGAATTATTTACCTGGCATCTCCGGTCTGAGCTTTGTTAGAAACGAAGTTCTGAGGGTTTCACTCACTGGTTAATTCTTTCAAACCTGGTGTCCATGCCGAGAATATCGTTTAGGGCGAATGTCTTTATTTCTGCACACGAAGACAGATCAGTTATCCTCGAAGACTATACTACTAGAATTTTTGTTCATACTAATTTTAGCTCAAGTTAATCCTAAAAAGTAGCCTTGACGTCGTTTGCGATGGCTTCATTAGTAAAAAAAAGAAAATAGGAAAGAAAACACAGGCTTCCAACGGAAGAGATTAGAATTGAACTTGGTGCTTTCAGTACCTGCCTCGATAAATCAAATAAGGAAGAGCTACCAATCACGATCATCGCCCCACTGGTTTGGCTAGCCAAGTAGTATGAGGACAAAGTTCAGCGGTCTTCGGACCTCGAGTGGTATGAGGCGCAGTGCGAGCAACAACACTAATTGATGATGATAGGTTTAAGGATAGCGGACCAAGAAAAATAGGAAGACTGAAACACGAGACTTGTCGAGTAAAATCTCAAGTACAAAAACAAAGTTCCTAATTAAAAGAAGCAAATCTAGATGTAAACGATAAAACTGAATTAGTTTACAATAAAGCGTATATAGGAATTTATGTATTCTATATTTTATATATTATATATTCTTCACTAAAAAGAATTCTATTCCTAGCTGAAATCATATGTAAAACTTAGATATAAGACATGTATGTACAAAATATTAGTGAGACGAGATTGTGAAAGATTGTAATGAGTGCAAAATGAATATTAACCTTTGACCTACAACGACAAGTGGGACTTGTGGTAATGAATTTTGGCCATAAAGAATTTTGCAGTATTATGCACTATTTAGGAGGAATGCACAATGACATTGTATCTTGCTGCATTATGTTACTATACCTTGTATTATGATCTGTTATGATCGAATGTACTGTATTTTACTATTATTTTAGTATTATGACTTATTTGAATGGTATATCACGTATTCTACTATATTTTGCTGTGTCATACTGTGTAGCGATATCAAGAATAATGTTGTATCCTGCTGTATTATGCTATCATACGTTGTACATTGATCTGTGATGCTCGAATCTACTGTATTTTGCAGTATCGTGCTCTATTTAGATGGTTTACTATCCAACCAGTCCCTAGCAGACACCATAACGCGCCATTACGACTAGTTTGCGCCTCGCCGACGTCGTGTTTGAACAATCGGGGTTTCCAACCGAGGGAGGATCAAGGCGCCGGTTGGCAAAGGGACGAAATCACGCGAACACGCGGCGCACACCATCGGCTATGATTCAAAGTCTCGCTCGGCCTCGCTAAGAGAGGCGTAGCGCGCTGCGGGATATATATTACCCCGTGGTATAATCCGCGGCGAATGATTTATAAATCGAGCGAATCGCGATTTGGCACGAGGCAAAAACGGTAATCGCGAATTAACATTTGCATGGGAGGAACGAAGGAAGGGCAACCGCGGAGCCCTTGTCCGACAAATGGCTCGCGCGAACCGCGAGGCTGCGAGGAGAGGCTGGCCCGAACGGCGGTTTCGCGGCCTCGCAGACGGTCATTTGTCTCGTGAAACGCCTGCTCGGTTCCGCGTTCCATCTGCGTCACAAGTCAGTGCGTTCACCTTGCCTCGAGTTATCAAAATCGGATACAATGGCGATACACCGTGTTCTTGGATATTCGCCGCGCCACGTGCTCGAGACGGTGGAAAACTGGGGGATGAACGGTCCGGGTGTGCCTAAGAGGAATATGACGATCGATTGGGGTTCGCACCCTGGTGTTGTCGTCTTATGCAGGATCAGTATTTAGAATTCAAGAGCAACACTTGCAATTGCTAGTTTTACGAAGGCTCCAAGTACTTGCCTCGACGAAATGTAATAAAGGAGAGGGCTCCTTTCTTCGTAATCATTTTTCGTAAGAATAAGAACCCGTATAACTGGTACAAATAATCAGTTATTTTACGCCCATTCATCGTTTTACGAACCCATCACCTTCATGTGGGGTCTGGTGCGACCCTTCAGGCAGAGGTACTGGCCCTTGGAACTACTATCACTGATAATACTAATCGCTGAGGAACTCCGCTATGAATTTGGAATGAGCATCCACGATTTTCCTTAGTTATAGAACTCATTAAAAAAGAGGATGTTGAAAACTAGTTAATTTTGAGGTAGCTCCGGTTCCTAAATTTTCGTCGAGGAATCATTTGTTAGATTTCGAGGAATTGTTAACTTACGATTATTTAGCCCTTGAATCCCCTATGTTTCAAATTTCGAATTGTTTAAAAGTTTCGAATTGTACACTTGCAATTGGTTTGTATTTAATGTTTGGCTGTATTGTTCAAACAATAAATACATTAATTTGGAAAATCAAGCTTCTAAAGGTTAACGTCAATATGATGGGAAAGTTATTGAGAAACTAAGTAAAGTACTAGAAAGTTCATACTGCGAAAAATTGTTGATTTCAAATGATCGTAATTTCCAAACAAATACACAGTAAGCTACTTTACCAGAAACGTCCCAATGGACCCAAGCCACCCCTA